CAAGCGTTGGGCGATGCTCCGTGCTTGAGGAGGAAGGCGGCGGTGGGGGTCTTCCCGGCATAGACGGCCAAGTGGAGCGGCGTCGTGCCAAAGTTGTTGGCGGCGTTGATCATCTTCTTGTCGAATTCGATGAGAGCCTGCACGACGCCACTATAGCAGCCGACGCTGTGGTGAGCTCGTTGTGGATAGCGGGATAAAGGCAGAGGAGAAGGTACGTATGTCCATTGACGGCGGCAATGTGGATTGCCCTGTTGGCGTCCGTGGCTTTCTCGTCCGCCTTCACCATGACGGGGATCAACTGGCGGATGATATGCGCGTGGCCAGCCTCGGCAGCCCTGAAGCGAGGAGAGATGTCACGATGAGATCGAACACTCGCAACGGACTCTTTCACGGGAGCTGACGCCAAAGAGCAGCTGTACCGTGATAGCAGTTCGCATTGAACCTGTTCGTCCGGCCATAGCTTACGCTGGTGAAGCACGGTCTGTATGTATGTCAAGTGGCCCTGTGAAGCTAGGTGGACACTAGAGTGAGCGACCAAAAGAAAGGAGTGATGCGCCAAGCCCCGCATACCTGCCCAATAGAGACGATTGCCGATCCTTCGCCGAGAACCGGTGCCCTGCATTTGCTTGACGTTGTCGAGCATGAGCGTCCTCCAACACCTCTCGCCTTCAATGACAGCCAGCGGACCACCAAAGTGCCTCTCGTAGAGCCGCTTCCACAAGACTGGTAGACGAGTAGGCGTGAGCACAAGAGTTGAATGTTGTCAAAAACGAAACGCAAGAAGGTACCATTATCCTCGAGAATGGTACTAAGAAGCTCACAGCAGGTTGCGGCCAGAGAGAAGATCTGGGAGTCGCCTTCTTAGACAAGGGGGAATTGAGCGTGGGCAATGGTAGAGCAGGTACCTCCTCGGTTGGCAGGAACGAGACGATGTGCGCCAGGCACTCTGGCGGGAGGAGTACGAGTAGACTGTCGGGCTGCGAAGCTTCGTCGGCGATTGGCTCCTGTGACTCTTCTTCCTCCATGCCCGCGAGCGCTTCCTTCACCTTCACCACCGCTGGCGCGCTCAAGAACAGCCTTTGTTTGCGCAGTAGCGCAAACGCCGCTTCTTCGCTCATCTCGAAAGAAAGAAGCAAAATTCCAAAGATAATCTCGGCCCTCGTTGTCAACTCATCGCTTAGCCCCAGGCGCTGCCGTATCAGGACGAGCGTGCCTGCCTTGTATGCAAACATTTGTTCTGGCCACATCATACCTCTCTTCCTCTTCGAGTGCGAAGTCTGGCAGCCGATTTTCGTCACATCCTTCGTCGTCATCTTTGTCGCTTCTTTATGCTTCTGCCAGTGCAAGTAGCGGCTGACCACTTGCCAACGCGCTACTCGCAGCTCCATCATCTTTTGCCTGCGTTTCGTTTTCCCGCCCTTGGCAAGCCGGCGTAGTTTTATTTTGGTTTATTTGCGGACGCGTAGTGGAAGGTGGCAGTCGTGCTTACTTGCTGCGCACCTTCTTCCACTTGAAGAGGGTCTTGACGTTGCCCTTGCTGTCCTCGACCTTCATCTTCTTCACACCGGCGCCCTTGCTCATCATCACCTGTCTTTTGGACGACACCTTCTCCACGACCTGGGCCAGCGACTTTTCCCTCTGCATCCTCTGCTTCAGCTCGCTGTATTGGCGCTTTCGCGAGCTGGCGATGGCCGCCGTTTGTCCCGCAACCACGGGCGTGGTGAACAACTCCTGAGACCATGAAGAGGAGAGAAGAGGATGTCAGTCTTGACCACCTCGCAATCACGCTCGTCAACAGGATGGATGAACCTCGGATTGCAACTGCTCAAGGGTGGGGCGATTGAAGCGGCGATCAACGAGCTCGGGCAGCGTGTTGAAGTAGTTCTCGGGCCGGAAGGTGAGAGCCTGGTCGAACGTGTCCACAAAGACCGTGTGCGTGTTTGCTGACCTGCCGCTCGACCCAAGAAGATGGAGACTGCTCTGCAGGCGCTCAATTTTCTACGAGAAGAGTCGTGACATACGTGGATAGTGAGCACACGTGCACAAGTCAGGACGGGTTGGAGAGAGTGGGAGTGCGTGGGTACCTTTTTCTCGGTTTGGCGAGCCGCAACGTAGTACATCATATCTTGCGTTTTCATGTTCACCATTTGCGTTTGAGTGCGCCGCTTGCCGCGTCTTGTCCTCGTGTGTACCCCTCCCTTTTGTGAAAAGAAAAAATAATCGTGGGTAAATTAAATCGCCACGATGAACGGATAACTGTGGAAATTGAGAGATTTAAACGTACCACCGTCTTTGATTTGATCATCTTGAAATAGAACTCATCTGGATTCCTGTTGGCCGCCTTCACGCGCAGGTTCTTGAGGACGGCCTGCTTCTTCTTGTAGTCGCGAGCGCGGAGCTTGTAATCCTTCTTCTTTTCGAGCAGGCCATACCTTTGCCTCGCGCGAGGCTGCGCTCTTTCCTTGTGCGCACGTTGTAGATCCTTTACAAACGACATGGTGCCCTATGCGTTCGATTGCCGTTGCCGAATTGCCAAGATGTGATTTCGGCGCTGGGTGCCTTTTTCCAAGCCTTTATTTTCTTTTCTTTTTCCTGTGAAGAGGCTGCACGAATCGCGCCTACTTCAACGCGGAAAACTCCGTTGCCCTGTTTGGCGCCTTTTTTGCCAGTTATTTCCCAGTTCGGCATATTGCGGGCCAATGGCTGCGCGTGGCGCCAAAATACGACGAAAGGGGACGCAATCTTTTTTTTCTTTGTACGCTCCTCCTCACAAGGACATCCATACCCCCCTTACTCTCCTCCTTCCGGCCTCGGTAGCTTCGTCTCGTCGTAATCAACATGAGGGAAATCATCTCTATCCACATTGGTCAGGCTGGCGTTCAAGTCGGTAACTCGTGCTGGGAGGTGCGTAGTCCTTCAATTGCGAGTTGCTGATCTCTCTCTCTCGGTCCTGCACGCCAACATGCTAAATTCGTCTCGGTGCAGCTTTACTGCCTGGAGCACGGACTCAACCCTGACGGTACTCTTCAAGAGGGCAAGACCTCGACGCCGCTCGCCTTCAGCACCTTCTTCAGCGAGTCGGGCAGCGGCAAGTACGTGCCGAGGGCTGTGTACTTCGATCTTGAGCCTTCGGTACGCCTTATGTCGCTCTCATTTCGCCAATTTTTCTCACACATAGAAGCGATCCAGCTCACACAAGCCCATTTTACATCGGATTTAGGTGGTCGATGCCGTCAAGCAGGGTCCCCAGGCTAAGCTCTTCCACCCCGAGAGCCTCATGAGCGGCAAGGAAGATGCGGCCAACAACTACGCTCGTGGTCACTACACCACCGGCAAGGAATACGTCGAGACCGTCGTCGACAAGATCCGCAAGCTCACCGAAGATTGCGAGGGCCTCCAGGGTTTCTTGGTCTTCCACTCGGTCGGCGGTGGTACCGGATCCGGCTTCGGTTCTCTGCTTCTTGAGCGTCTCTCCGTCGATTACGGCAAGAAGAGCAAGCTCGATTTCTGCGTGTTCCCCTCGCCCCAGATCTCGACCAGCGTCGTTGAGCCCTACAACTCCGTCCTCAGCACCCACGCCCTGCTCGAGCACACCGATGTCGCCTTCATGCTCGACAATGAGGCCATCTACGACATCTGCCGCGACAAGCTGCGTCTGGAGCGCCCCACCTACCAGAACCTCAACAGGCTCATCGCTCAGGTCATCTCCTCGCTGACCGCCTCGCTCCGATTCGACGGCGCCCTCAACGTCGACATCAACGAGTTCCAGGTGAACTCGTCCCGTATCCGCGCATCCACTTCCTGCTCTGCTCCTACGCTCCGATCGTTAGCCCCGAGCGCGTGAATCACGAGAAGCTCTCCGTACCCGAGCTCACCTCAGCCGTGTTCGAGCAAAGCACCATGCTCGCCAAGTGCGACCCGAGGCACGGCAAGTACATGGCCGTGTGCATGATGTACCGCGGTGACGTCGTCCCCAAGGACGTCTCGGCCTCGATCGCCAAGGTCAAGACTAACAAGACCATTCAGGTACGAACTCAGCCTCACCTTTCGCTCTCTCGCGCCTTTGGCCCGCACGGAAAAGAATTCTCACCTTCGTTTTTCACGTTTTTTCCAGTTCGTCGACTGGTGTCCCACCGGCTTCAAGTGCGGCATCAACTACGAGGCCCCTACCGCTGTTCCCGGCGGCGACATGGCCAAGGTCAACAGGGCTTGCTGCATGTTGTCCAACACCACCGCCATCGCCGAGGTCTTCTCCCGCATCGACCACAAGTTCGACCTCATGTACGCCAAGAGGGCCTTCGTCCACTGGTATGTCGGCGAGGGTATGGAGGAGGGTGAGTTCTCTGAGGCCAGGGAGGACCTCGCGGCCCTCGAGAAGGACTATGAGGAAGTCGGCCTCGATTCCGTTGACGATTCCTCGGTTGACGCCGACGGTTCGCTCTCCGTCGATGGCTCTGAGATCTAAAGCACCTTTTGCCGGCCATTGTATGTCTGGCGGGGTGAAGCAACAAATAAATGCTTGTACCTACCGCAAGTCTTCCAGCTATCTGCGCCCTTTTCTCTGGGTCGGACCTGCGACCTGCGCCAGAGCTTTCGTACGCTTCATCACCTTGGCCTTCCCGTTCTCGTAGCGGGGAAAGCGGACAATTTACCTCCGCGGCCTTGGAGAATCACCCGCTGGTGTTTTGCGGTTGCGTAATTGACCACGTGCCTCCGATCGGTTGGAGCAACCACGGCATGAGGTTCAAGTAAATTGATAACGCATGCCTGGCAATAACCCGGAGAATGTGTTGTTTTCACTGAATCCAATGTGCAGCCTTCTTGTGGCGCGTGCGCTGTTCAAAGACCTTCCTTACAAGGGTAACATCTCCCTTGGCAGCCCGCCTATGGCCTGCCGCCTTGCCATTAGCTTCTTTGAAGCCAATAAGGGACCAGAACGCAGCGGAACGGAGGGGAACTCTTCCCCGGGTCTCCCTCAAACCGTCCATTTCTTTTCGCCTCCTCTCCCCTTCACCGCCCTCCCCACGCTCGCTCTCCTCCTCTGCGTCTCGCCGACGACCACCGGAGCCAAAGAAAAAGAACGAACTGGCCGATACGAAGATATCTTCTGGCTTTGCGTCAGTGCCTCCAGCGCCGAACACCAAGCTTTGCCGGCAAGGCCCCGTAATCCGAAGCAACCCGCCGGCAACCGGCAACCACAACACTCAATGAGAAGAGACGAGGGTTCTCCTCCGACTTCCTCGGCGTCTCTGCCGGATACAAGCTCCACTGATTCGACGCCGACCGAGGCCGCCGCCGCGTTGATGAGCGGTCAGCCCCAGCTCGTTCAGCTCCCTTTTCCGGCCGCCGGTGTGGTGCCCGCAGTGGTTCCGGGTTCGGTGCGGCTGCTCCCCCAAGGCGCCGTACTCGCCACCGCATCGACGACTACATCATCTTCTGGAGCGACATCTTCGATCTTTCCTCAGCCACACCAACCTGTCGTACCCTTGACGCCCCAGCCGCCCCAGTTTTACTTCGGCCCGACAACCGCTGGCGCAGTGGTCCACCCATCTTTCAATCCTCTCCAACAAGCCCCACTCTACCAAAGGTACTGGCCCAGATCGCTCCGCAAGGCCAACTTCGGATAAACAAATGAACCCTAATAGCTCTTGATGACGTAGTGGCACTCACCCTTGATTACCCGACTGCCACCTTAAGGATTCAAATGCAGATCGCTGTGCAACCGCCCTCCAAGACGGTCTACCAGCGCATCCTCAAGCCCTTCCCCTCCGTCTACCTAATCCTGCCGCCGCTTCACACCAACGGTACGCCCCCCACAAACCACTTATCACAACAACATCACAGATCAGCTTACCATCGTCCTCTTTCGTTTTACGCATCAGTGAGCGGAGACCCGCTGAGCCTGCTGTACGAAGCGCTTAGCGCCAAGAGCCATGAGGAGGGCGTGTTCGTGGAGGCCAGTGTTGTGCGCAACGACAACGGCGATCCGCTCGACCGCGCCATTGACGGCCAGGCCACCGCGCGACTGGAGAGGGTGAGTTAGCCTCCCCCCTGTAACAAGCGACCAATCGTCTAACTCCTATTGCGCCTCTCTTTGCAGAGCGGGTGGAACTCGGGGGTGTACACGGCGACCTTCAAGAAGCTCAAGCTCCTCACAACCTCGCAGCAGCGTTCTGGCTCCAAGTTCAGCCTGTGCTTCCGCCTCAAGTGCAGCTCGCTGGCTCTCGGGTCGCTGGCCGACATGGTCGTGATCTCGAACCCCATCGAGGTCTTCTCGCACTCCCAGTATCTGGGCAAGTCCGATGGCACGTCTCTCCTTCCCTCATAGCTCCGAACTTGATTTCAAATGAAAGGCGCTCGGGCTGATGATGGCCGCCTTGTTTGGCGCGAGCACAGCAGATGACCGAGCGAAAACGCAGCCTGGGGCGATCAAGTACGCCGACAACCCCGCTGGGCTCCACCTTAAGCTGATGGAGTCTATTCACGTACGTGAATACTAAGGCCCTCATCTGCAACCACCAAGCACAAGGGACTGATGAGAGTTTCGGTGTTACACAGGCGTTCAAGGAGCTGGGCGGCGCACAGGAAACACTGATCAACTACATCACTGCCATCTACAACCAGAACAACCCCATACCGTCGGCCATGGTGGCGCTGCCTCCGTCCGGTCTGCCTCATGTCCACCCGCAGCAACTGCCGGAGGGCTTCGTCCTCCAGCACCATCAGGCCATCCTGCCCAGCACCGGTACCCACGCGGCTTCTTTGTTCTTCGCTCTTTCGTTGCACGCTTTTTTTTAACTCCTATTCCACAAGCAGGCGAACGATCCCAATCTCCCACAGGGACCATATTCGGAGGCACACCACCCAACGTGTCGCCTCGCTCGAGCTTTCACTCTGCCGCTCTGCCCCAGCAGCCGAGCTTCCCGCTCACGCCGACGCCCCGCCGGTGCTCGCCCACCTCGTCCGGGTCCTCGTCGCCACCCTCCTCCCCGCCCACGCTCTTCGCCGCACCGCCGGCCACCCACGCGCCTGTCCCCATGTCCGTCCCGCCGCACCCTCGGGCCTCGCCCGCCCTCTTCCCTTCTGGTTCGGGCCCCGCGTCGGTTCCGCTCACGCCGCAGACCGCGGCGTCGGTGCTGCCCGGCATCGCCTCACTCTTGGCCTCTTCGGGTGTGTCCTTGCCGCCGCTCGCGTCGTCGGCCACGCCTGCGCCTGTGCCCTCGTCACTATCGGACCCCACTGCCCGCCGGCGGCCCTCTGTGGAGACGCTTCTCCAGCAGCCTGTGCATGCGGACCACCTGCGCGGCGGGTCCTCTCTGCTGTCGTCGCTGTTGCTTGCCCCGCTTCAGGCCCTGTCGGAGGCCTGTCGCGACAGGACCAACTCGAGCAAGCGCAAGGCCAAGGAGTCCGGGCACGAGCACGAGCAGAGCATGAGCACGACCAGCGTCGCCGGGCAGCCGACGCGGACGACCTGGGAGAAAAGGAGAAGCGCGAGGTCAGGCACAAGCGCCGACGGAAGAGCGCCGACTAAATCAACGCGGCGGTCTTGTACAAAACGTCTCTCATTGTGGTCGCAGTGGATGCCTCATATTTTCATATTCATCATAAAAATTCATTTTTACTCATAATCACAGAGACACAGACACTCGAACAGTGCAGCCACACACCAGCAACATCGAAGAGATGCTCTTGACTCCCACGATCCTTGGCTGCACTTGCGACACCGTGCTGGGGCACGGGTCACAGGCCAAAAAGGGAAAAAGAGAAAATAAGTGAGAAACAGGAAAAGAGAACAAAAGACGTAAGGCCAAGGACTGCGAGGATGGAGGAGACAGGCAGTGGTGGTGCACAGGGGCTGTCCTCGTTCGTGGGGGAGCGACATGCGGCAGCGGCTGCGGAGGTGGCCGAGTTCGATGGGTTGATGGAGCGCAAGCTCAAGCAGCTGCCGCCCTCCAAGCTCAAGGACATCGCGGTCGTCGTGGGCATCCCCTTCTACACCGAAGTCTCCAACATCATCTCGGTACCTGCCCTCGCTGCCCTGCCAGCCCACTCCAATCCATTTGCATAATCAATTTATTTTTCCTAATTTAAATAATAACTAATAGAAAAATATAAATATAAATATAAATATAATCCTCACGCTGTGCAGGTTCTGGTGACTCTGCGCGAGGTGTTCCAAGAGCGACGTCAGCGGTGTCTCGTGTGCGTGGTGGGCGAGTGCGCGCGGTCGGACTACGTGCAGATGATTGACGTCGCCGAGCTCGAGGAGGGCGAGGCCTGGGAGCAGGAGAGGTGCTCTGCGCCACACACCTGCCAACGCACCAGCGCCGCGCACGTCAGCTGACAGCTGTGGTGCACACACGCGTGCGGGTGTGGGCCAGGTTCGTGGGGATTGAAACGATGTGGAAGCCCCTTCCCAAGTTCGCACAGAAGCCGTGGGCGGTGCGCGCGCTGCAGCTCGTGGCCGCCGCCGCCAACAATGGCAATGGTGCGTGTGCGCACGTTGGGCTGTCACTGGATCGTGTGCGTGTGCGTGTGCGTGTGCGTGTGCGTGCGCGATGCTGATCCGGTTGTGGGGGAGCAGGTACGCATCTGTTGGTTGTGGATGCCGACATTCAGTTCAACCACTGGGAGCTGTCGGCCAAGAGCCTCGTCGTGGCTCTCCTCAACCCGCTGCTGGCCTACGACCACCAATTTCTCGGTGCGCCTTACCAGAGCTCCCTCAACACAGGCTCCAGCTCACCCTGTCTGGTGTGTGGTGTGTGGTGTGTGGTGTGTGGTGTGTGGTGTGTGGTGTGTGGTGTGTGGTGTGTGTGTGTGGCCGTGTTACTACAGAACCCTCCCAGATCGGGAAGCCGCCCCTTGCGGAGTCCACATCGTCGTCTGACCTCAGCTTGTCGGCTTCGTCGTCGTCGTCGTCATCTCCCGTCGGCTCTGCTCCCAGTTGTGCCGAGCCGGCGTCGGCGACGATGGTGGTCCTCAACGCTCCCCGGAGCTTCATCGCCGACGACGGCCTCGTCCACCTCTTCACCTACCTCTTCGTATACGCCGTGCTCGGTTGCCTCCCCTCACCGCCACCCTTCCACACAGTTGTGGCGGTGCTGACTCACCCGGGAATCGTGTGTGCGTGTCTCGTGTGCGTGCAATGCGTGTGTGCCAGGTATCGAAATCCACCAAATCTATGGAGGCGAGTTCTCTGTGCACCGCGAGCTGAACAAGGTATCGTACGTGTGCGCACGGGTGAAGCGTCCGGCTCTCACTGCATAAATGTATTATGATCACAATGGGGCAGGCGCTGCTGCGGGACAAGTCGCTGTTCTACCGGGATGCCTA